ATAATGTAGAAGCTTCCCTGTGGCACACTGAGACAATACCTGTGATCACTGCATCTGAAGCAACAACATCTGGCCTAGCAGGAAAATCATAGAATCGGGCATGACCGCCACCTGATCGGCCTCCCCCTCTTGGGCGACCCCTAGCTTACTAAGCCCTACCCCAAGCTGGCTGGGCGGGTGGCAAAGTAACTGGTGCTGAAGTCGTAGTCTGACTCCTCTTCTGCACTGGACCTCCCAAGCGATGAGGACATTATCTCCACATATGCCCAAATTCCACAAACTCAAAGCAGCTCTCCGGTACTGGTGATGGTGCGGACTGAATCGGACCCCGAGAACAAGAATAACTACTAGAAGCACCCGGTACAAATGAACCCTGAACTGAAGGGGCACGGGACGAACTCTGGGCTGACAGGGCACAGAGAGATGACTGGCCCTGATGAGAACTGTATGAACCCTTGCCGGATGATGCACCACAGTGAACTGGACGACCCGTCTGAGCGTGTCTGTAAGGACGACCCCTACTGCAGTAAAACTGTCTGAAATCACCTGGTCCCCGAGGCCTCTTGGCCTCCCTCTCTCCACGCTCTTGACTACGGACCATCTCTATCTGCCGAGCAATGTCAACTACCTCATCAAAAGTAGCACAAGATACTCTCTCCCGAGTTATAAGTAACCGCAGCTGATATGTGAGGCCATCAATGAATCTCCTAATCCTTTCCCTATCAGTGGGAACCAACCAAACTGCGTGACGAGCCAACTCAGAAAATCTCATCTAGTACTGGGTCACAAATATGACATCATGACGTAACTGCTCAAACTGTCTGCGCAGCTCCTCCCTGCGAGACTGCGGCATAAACTTCTCCAAAAAGAAAACGGAGAATTCCTGCCATGTAAGTGGTACTGCACCTACCGGCCTGCGCCTCTCATAAGCCTCCCACCATCTGAAGGCAGCCCTAGAAAACTGAAAAGTAGTAAACGAGACCCCACTGGTCTCCAGAATAACCGCTGTCTGCAGCATCCGTTGGCACTTATCCAGAAATCCCCGAGCATCCTCTGACTCAGCACAGCTAAATGATGGAGGTCGAAGCCTCCCAAATCTCTCAAGTCTTCTCTGCTCATCATTTGCCATAACAGGGACTACCGGGGCTTGAGCAGCTACAACTGGCTGGGCTGGTTGTGCCCCCAGTTTCTGAAGTCCCTATACTACCTGATCTGGAGTACGGACAACATGGTTATGAGTACCTCCCCCAGCCTGAGAAGTAGCATGTGCGGTCTGAGTCGAAACCACCTGAGCAAGGCCAGTGCAAACTGTCAATATCTGAGCCAAAGCCTCCTATAGGCCTGGAATCTCAATGGGCACAACTGGTGCCTGAGCGGGTCCCGCCGGCTCAACTACATTTGGAATCTGCTCCTGAGCTGGAGCAACTGGTGGTGCTACAGGTGTTGCTCCAATTGTTGTACGAGCGACACCTCGACCTCTACCTCGGCCCCGGCCTCTACCACGGTCCCGACCCCTCGCGGACCCAACTGGTGGCAGTGGTGGCTGACCATCCGATTCGGTAGTACGTGTTCTCACCATCAGTGAGAGAATAGAATAAGATAATTTTTAGTTTTCGGAATCAACAATTCGCACGACAGAATACAAGAAAGTGTAATTTTCCTAAGGGTTAGTCAGCCTCTCGAAGATAAGTACAGACGTCTCCGTACCGATCCGCAAGACTCTACTAAACCTACTCATGACTCGTGAGACCTATGTAACCTAGGCTCTGATATCAACTTGTCACGACCCAAAATCCTAACCTGTCGTAATGGCACCTATCTCAATACTAGGTAAGCCGACAATACCGATAACCCATAATTTCTTGTAAATACGAAAAATATAATAATTAAGTTTAAGAGAAAATCCCATAAATACTGGATATAAATAACTCCCTAAACTCGGTGTCACTAAGTACATGAGCATCTATACATCACAAGTCTGGAAAATACAGTCTATAATAGTTTGAGACCAAATACAGTAAACAAAGAGATAGGGAAGGAGAGACAAGATCTGCGAAACACGACAGCTACCTCGGAATCTTCGAAAAATCAACTGTGCGAAAGAATCAACATCCGCGGTGTCCGGGATCACTGGATCTACACACGAAATGCAGGGTGTAGTATGAGTAAAACCAACTCAGTAAGTAACAATAACAAATAAAGAACTGAAAGTAGTGACGAGTTTCACAGCTAAGTCCAAATACAGTAATTTCCAACATGAAAAGGTAGGCATGCTTTCAAGTTCAACATTTAAAACTCCACGGTAATTTCATATCAAATTTGACTGAAACATAAATAATGTCTTTCAGAGTTTTTCCAAAACAGTGATAATGACAGCTGAAATGCATCAATAATGGAATCAATGCATCCTCTCAGAGTAACAGTCACCCAGTCCTCCCATACATTCCAACCTCACAATCACTCTTTCCTCACAGTCACTCATTCCTCACAGTCACTCATTCCTCACAATCACTCACTACTCGGCACTCGACACTCGGCACTCACACTCAGTAGGTACTTGCGCTCAATGGGGGTGTGTACAGACTCCGGAGGGGCTCCTTCAGTCCAAGCGCTATATCAAGCCAATCATGGCATATAACAATGAAACATGCTGCGGCGTGCACGCCCACACGCCCGTCACCTAGCATGTGTGTTACATCAAACCAATCACATAACATATAATCCGGGGTTTTATACTGTTACTTATCTCGAACAATGTAATTCTTTATTTTGCTATGCCTTCGCCTTGTGAATTGGCCTCCAAACGCCTCGAATCTAGCCACAAATAATTCAATTTAGTCAATAAAATTTATTGGAATTAATTCCATAAGAAAATGCTAATTTTTCAGCAAAATCCGAAATTTAGCTCAAAAATCACCCGTGGGGCCATGTCTCGGAACCCGACAAAAGTTACAAAATCCGAAAGCCCATTCAACCACGAGTCTAACCATACCAATTTTACTTAATTCCGACATCAACTCGACCCTCAAATCTCCAAATTAAACCAAGAAGGTTTTCTAAATTTTTCAACTTAATTCACCTATTTAATGATGGATTTAAAGGCATAATCATGAAAATTAACCAAAACTGGATAAGAATCACTTACCCCAAACACTCACGCAAGAATCTCTCTAAAAATCGCCTTCTACCGAGCTCCCAATTCGATTTTGTGTTATGAACTCGAAACCCCTATTTTGGAACTTTTAATTCCGCCCAGATATGCCTTTATCGCGAACGCGACCTCACCCTCGCGTTCGCGTAGAACAATCTGACTGCCCCTAAAATTAACCCTTCGCGAACGCGAAGCGAGTCTCGTGAACGCGAAGTTTTGTTGTCCCCTCACTTCGCGAACGCGACAACCCCTACGCGAAAGCGAAGGCCAAATGCACGGGGTCCCCAACTGCCTTCTCTCTTCTTCGCGAACGCGTCTGCCTACTCGCGTTCGCGATGCTTTCTCAGTCCAAACCTTCGTGTTCGCGTCCTCTCTTTCGCGAACGCGAAGAACAAAATTCTTCAGCCCACAGACATCCTTCGCGAATGCGAGACCCCTCTCGCGAACGCGTAAGAGGAAACCAGAAGAAAAACACCAGCAGTCTTTAGCCAACATGCTAAGTCCGAAAATGATCCGTTAACCACCCGAAACTTACCCGAGGCCCCGGGACCTTAACCAAACATACCATCAAGTCCCAAAACATCATACGAACTTAGTCGAGTCTTCAAATCATATCAAACAACGCTAAAACCACGAATCATACCCCAATTCAAGCCTAATGAATTTAAAATTTCTACAAATGATGCCGGAACTTATCAAATCACGTTCGATTGACCTCAAATTTTTCACACAAGTCATAAATGACATACAGACCTATTCCAATTTTCAGAATCAGATTTCGACCCCGATATCAAAAAGTCAACCCCCCGGTCAAACTTTCCAAAAATTTAACTTTCGCCATTTAAAGCCTAATTCTACTACGGACCTCCAAATAATTTTTCCGGATACGCTCCTAAGTCCAAAATCACCATACAGAGCTATTGGAATTATAAGAATTTAAATCCGAGGTCGTTTACACATAAGTCAACATCCGGTCAACTTTTCCAACTTAGATTTTCAATTATGAGACTAAGTGTCTCATTACACTCTGAAATTCTTCCGGACCTGAATCAACTAACCCGGTAAGTCATAAAACAACTGTAAAGCATAACTTGAACAGTAAATAGGAGAACATTGTTATAATACTCAAAACGACCGGTCGGATCATTACAATACACTCAACTACTTTTGAAGCAAAATTTAGGCATTTGATTATTGTGACAGAATTTAAAGTCTGGTCAAATTATATAGTGCAAATAATCCTGGTTTAGTGGGGCAAATTCTGTCCCCTGACTGCAGATTTTTATCACTATTTGCTTTGCAAGTTTCTAAAGGAAATTTATTTGTATTCTATATTCATATTAAATTATTTAATTATTATAATTAAAAATAATAAATTAAAACAACGATATATTTTAGTTAACTATACTTTTATTATAATAATATATGCATATGTGTCATGTATTCATTAGATTAGTATAGACTTACAACTTGTTTGAATAGTTCTTATACATTGTATTGTATAATATTGTTACTTTAAATACAAATTTATTTTGATTGTTACTTGAATTTTATTATATCGCATCGTTAAATTTATTGGTGCGTAACAATGAAAAAAGCCACTTTATCTAACGATCGAGTGTAGTTACGTTGTTATTTTATTTTTTCCTTTTATCTTATCCTTATTTTTAAAAAATAATTATATTGCGTACCTTACTTTTTGTTATTGTAATATTATAAGTTTATTTTTTATTTATATTTTTGATAGATGACATCATAAAATAATATCAGGTAACATAATCTGTTTAAATACTGTACACGTTAAACAAAAGGATACATTATAAAATGATCCAAACAAGTTGTAATATGATAAGTCTTTACCTTCCTAAGGCCAAGAGCCCAAATTAGACACTAACACATTCCTAGTGAATCTCAACACCCTCAAAACTCTCAAACAGACAGAAATATTAAAAGAAAAAAGTAGTAGCCGCAGCAGAAGAACGGGGCAAAGAAGAAGAAGAAGAATTAGCTGCAACACAAAACTCTGTCTCAACCTTATATATCCATCCATCCCCAAAAAAGTCAATCTCACCTTTCCCAAAACTTCATCACTCTACACACTTTGATCTAGAGAAGCAATTCACACCCAACAATACTGTTATAACAAAAAAAAAACCAATTGCTTAAATGATCTCATTATTACTTGTACAAACCACATATGTTGAATTGTAGATAAGAAAGAGCAAAAGTTTATTTTTTTGGATTGGTTAAGAATTTGCAAGAATGATGAATTCTGGGGTTAGTAGTAGTAATAATAATAATAATAATAATACAATGTCGTCTGCATCGGGGAACAATAACAACGCAGGACAATCACCTGGTTTGAAGACTTATTTTAAGACCCCAGAAGGAAGGTACAAGCTTCAGTATGAAAAGACACACCCTGCTGGCCTTCTTCATTATGCTCATGGCAAGACTGTTACTCAGGTATAACTATTAGCTCTTATGCTTTTGTGTTTTTTTTTTTTTAAATTCTTGATTGTGGCTATTGATGTTAATTTCAATGTTATGTTTTGTAAGATGCTAAAGACTGGATTTTGAGCATGACCCACTTGGTAATATCCATGTTTTGAGCTTAGAATGGAAGGGGTTTGGCTAATATGGTTAGTTTCAACTTTAGTGGTTTGTAAGATGGTCAAGATTGGATTTTGGGCATGACCCACTTGGTAATATCCATGTTTTGAGCTGAGTATAGAAGGGGTTTGGCTAATATGGTTAGTTTCAACTTTAGTGGTTTGTAAGATGGTCAAGATTGGATTTTGGTCATGATGGTCAAGATTGGATTTTGGGCATGACCCACTTGGTAATATCCATGTTTTGAGCTGAGTATAGAAGGGGTTTGGCTAATATGGTTAATTTCAACTTTAGTGGTTTGTAAGATGGTCAAGATTGGATTTTGGCATGACCCACTTGATAATATCCATGTTTTGAGCTGAATATTGAAGGGGAGCCTTGGAGCAACGGTAAAGTTGTCTCCGTGTGAACTATATGTTACGAGTTCGAGCCGTAACCTATATACTTACATCTGGATAAGCTGCCTACATCGCACCCCCTTGTGGTGCGGCCCTTTCTTGGACCCTGCCTGCATGAACGCGGGATGCTTTGTGCACCATACTGCCTTTTTTTGGTGTGATGGTAAAGATTGGATTTTAGGGTTGACTCACTTGGTAATATCCATGTTTGAAGCTGAGTATAGAAGGGGTTTAGCTAATATGGTAAATATCAAATATTGAGGTTCTACACCTCTACACCATCCTTTTCCAAAAAAGGGGAAAAAAAGGTTACTTTAGGTTTACTTGGCACCTGTATTTGTGCGTGTAGCAGGTTACACTGTGGATTAGTCAAGGCTGATATGCCGACATAGTCCTTTTCCAAAAAAAAAAAGAAGGTTAATTTCAAGTTCAAGATACGTTCCCGGGGGTTTGAATAATTGAGTTTTACAGTAAATTTGTTTTGGTCTCATCTACCTTTTAACTCCGGGTCGAAAATCCATTTTCTGTCTGTTTACACGAAATCAAGGATCCACTAATGAGATAAAATGTAAAATAACTTTTATTTTCAGGTAACCCTTGCTCATCTCAAGGATAAGCCGATGCAGGCGCAGCCCCAATCATCATCAAGTTTTGGAGTGAGCAGTGGTGTTAGGTCAGCTGCAGCAAGGTTCTTAGGTGGAAATGGTAGTAAAACACTTAGTTTTGTTGGAGGAAATGGTGGAAGTAAGTCTATTAGTGGCATGAGTGGTAGGGTTGGATCATTTGGGGTGTCAAGTTCAAGTAATTCTGTTGGCAATTCGAATTTTGATGGCAAAGGAACCTATTTAGTGTTCAATGTTGGTGATGCAATTTTTATCAGTGACTTGAATTCTCGAGATAAGGTATGCTCGTCAACATATTTTGCTTTCTGAGATGATAGATTTCGTGATACAGATTATGAGAGTATTACTGTCCAGTACAGGATCCTGTAAAGTCTATACATTTCAGCAATTCAAACCCCGTTTGCCATGCATTTGATCCGGATGCAAAGGAAGGACATGACCTGCTCATTGGTTTAAATTCTGGAGATGGTAAATTTCCATGTATCAGTCTATGTGACATATAGTTTACAGCTTCTAGTAGGATTCTCTTTTGAACCACAATGTCTGTTGTCACACTTGCAGTTTATTCAGTATCCTTACGGCAACAACTACAAGATGTTGGGAAGAAGCTTATTGGGGTACAACATTACAACAAGGACGGTGCTGTTAACAACAGGCAAGGCTCTCAAATCAAACCCTTCAATTCTTGTCTTTATCTTGTCTTTGGGGAATAATGTTTATACACCTAGGCTTCCTTGACATCTTTTTTATTGAGTTTGAAATAGATGAATATTTAGTCAGACAAGCGTCATATATGTTTTTTGATGGCTAATACAACTTGTGTGTTCCCTAAAATTTTCTTTATAGTAGATAGCTTTCTCTTTTGATAAAGGTGGAATCTTGTGTTCTCTTTAACTAATCTTGCTGACTCTCTATAAATGGAAGCCGCATTTGCTGATTGGCATAATAGCATCATTTGAATTAAGTGCCATTGAGCTGGTTATTTCCCATTTATGGGGGTCATAAGTTAGATTTAAATTGGTAATCATAGTTGAGACATCCAGAAAATATGCTGCTTTTGCAATACATTTATTAAATGGCGTTTATGATTACTGAATATTCTTTAAGGCACTCCATCTCATATTTCAAAGTAACATTGTAAAAAAACAGTCAGTAACCTTAAAAGAATATTCCATTAGCTTATAAATGTACTTCTATCATTAATTATAGGTCGTCTTTTATGGACCATTAGAGATACTTTGACACCTCCTATGTACAAACTCGCCCCTCCCCTGGGTTGATGGAAGATAAGTAGATTAGTCTATGAAGTGTAAGGATGACAACAAAAATATGATTAGATTTATTTTTCAGTTTTTCACAACCGTCACGTAATCAAGAAGTTATTGAAGTTGACAAGTAAGCTTTTCTTTTTGAATAAATAAGAGGCACTATATATATAAGAAAGAGCATTAAGGAGATTGAAGATACCCAAAAAAAGGAGAAGATAGAAACAACTAAATAAGATATAAGGAACAAAGAAAAAGAAGAGAGGTAAGATCTTGAAGGCACCATCATTTAGACAAAGGAAATCTAGGAACAACAAAAAATCTTCAGCTCCTTCCATCAACTCTTCCTTGGTCAAAAGAGAAAATTAAATGAAGATAATAATTGTTACAGTAGCTGCACTAGTAGTTCAAAATATTATTTCATGCTGGTTAATTGAGGACAACTTGTAGTGATAATTTGGTGACATGGGAAATACTGTTATAGCATACAAACATTTATGTTCCACGCATGCCTTTTTCAATGCATCCTTCATCAAGGATTCTTTAAGAAGATATTTAATACTTTTTGACATTGTAGACTCCACCACTCAAAACCCCTACCCAGGAGGCATACAATGGGCCTTTCTCACTTTGCCCCTTTGGTGGCTTAAACCCCCAACCTTATTATTAGAATTCGAGGCTTTTTACCAATTACCACTAGGCTACCCCTCCCTTTTCACAAAAGATCCATACTTCATTTAGTGTTTGTTGTGTTCATTACTTGTTGAATATTTTACAATTAGTTTCCTGCAATGTCTGGCCATGCTAGTACTGTAACTCTGTAAGTGTGATAGTTACATATAAAACAAAAAGGTTTATACCAAGAAGAGAATGATTTATTTGCCAATTTAACAATTTCCTTTGCCTCCAACACCAGTCGTTGTACTAGTGTCGCATGGGTGCCTAACAGTGATGGCACTTTTGTTGTTTCTCATGCGGATGGAAACTTTTATGTCTACGATAAGGTAAATATGGTGTCTTACTAATTTCCGATGTTAATGATTTTCATATTTCCAACTTCTGTTAGACCAGTGTGCAATTTGTTTTTGTTTCGCAGAGCAAAGATGGTTCTGCTGATCCTTCATTTCCAGTCATCAAGGATCAAACTCAATTGTCTGTTTCCCATGCACGCTATAGTAAGGTATTGTGCTTATGGACATAGTATTTTTCTGCAGTAATTTGTTGTCTCCAACAATTGTCAATTTCGTTGTTTATCTTTTTACATCGAGAGATCAACCTCACCTCTCAATCTCGAATTATTTGGGGTAATCTGTATGGATTTGTGTTCCATACCATGGTATTTTGGTTCGTTTAATTTTTATACTAAATAATTTGACTTGTAAAGCATATTAGAGGTTCTCTAAATCTCACACTTAACCCTATGCGGATGTACAAGTCTTTAGCAGAATAAGAATAAAAAGACACTACAGTATACTTGATGCAAGTATAACACAATAATGAAGCCTTAAATCTCAGCTAGTTGCTATAGCCTATATGGATCACTTTTTTCCATTTCGTCATGTTTTTGGATAAATAAGAATTGCTTTGGTAAGGTTGTAGGTATACCAAGATAACTTCCATTCATGTATTTTACATCACTTTATTCATCTTTTATCAAAAAATAAACGAATAGTGGTCTATTTAGGACATGACTAAACCATCTCAAGTTATCTCTCATTTTACCCTTTATTGTGTGTTCCTTGCACTCTCTCAGTCTAGTATGATCATTTCTAATCTTGTAAAAGAATCTTGTGCAATCTGATAATACCTACATTTAGCTCATATATCTAATGGTTGTCACACTTTACTAGTAATATTTTATTGCCTTTTTTTAAAGGTTCCTTTCAAATCCTTTTAATTAGAATAATTATCAAAAAGCACATGCATATTAAGTTGCTCCGACACGGTAGTTTAGGTGCTGCACCCGTGTCGACACGATACTAGTATGGGTGTGGGTAAGGGAACCGTATCGGATTTGGTCAAACAATTTTAGGTACTTTGACAATTTTGGATACAATTTGATTCCCAAAATCAGAACTGCAACTAGGGTAAATTTGAAGAAAATAGCATATTTTATCTAGAAAATTAATCCTTTACTTTTCTACAACTTGAGAATAAAAAAGAAATCTGCACCTTACAAGCTATACATAAATATTCCACAAAATTTCTGATAATTTAGAGATTTTTTTATTTTTTTATTTTTTTATTTTTTTGAATCCGTACTAGGAGTCGTATCCTCGATTCTTAGAATTTACATCTTTGATTAGGTAAAGAGGGACGTAACGCGAGAATCCCCTTTGTTGTCATCGATCATGTCAAATTAGATGATGTTGCAAAGCAGTTTATAGAGCCAGCAAATATGGCAAATTAGATGATGTTGGTCCTGTGATATTTAATCATGAGCCAATTACCTCTTTCTCAAGGCATAGGCACATTGACTCCTTACTAGTAGCTTCATTACTTCTTTTGAGCCTATTCTAAGCAAATACAATCTTTCATTGATGAGGTTTACAACTTCTTTGGATGGTTGTTATCCATCATTTTATAGTGTATCATATTGTATTGTATTTTACTGTATTGTTCTATGAGTACAACATTTGGATGGATTGTATCGTTTGGATGTGGTTTAGTAAGATCTTTGTTGTTTGGTTTGATTGTAACATATTGTACAACAACTGATGGGTTTACGAAAATGCCTTTAACTGCTATAAATATTAGATTTACGAAGAATTACTCATAAATTAATTTAAGACAGCTTCTTTCCCTAATTTATCACCAATTATGCTTTGTAGACATATTACGTTATTAAATTCATCCAACTCCTAATGAAATTAAACAAAGACAAGATAATAATATAAACAACAATAATAAATACACAACTTTTATTTGGAACATAAATAATGTTTAATAACAGCATTCATTCATATAATTCATAACATAAAATGCATAATGTAACATTTTCTGGAAACATTTTCCATAAAATCTTCATTTGAGCGAGTTGCTCAGCAGCCAATAGTAAATTTGAGCTTGTTTCCTCAATTTTCTAGTTCCATAAGTCTACCCGTATATATNTAGCAGATAAAAGTTACCACATGGATTCATAAAAAGACAAAACTAATAAACATTGATAAGTATCATCACACGAAGTAAAAAGAAAATAAATCATGACACAAGTACACAATGATTTCACAGTAACCTATGGTCTCAAATTGGACAATGCTACTGACGTAGGAAAAGACAGCTGCAAAACCACGAAGAAAAATAGATTATATGATAGAGTTAATAAAAAAGTGTAAAAGGTAAAATATAATTATTGAATAATAATTAAGGATAGAATGGTAAAATAAAATAAGGTAACGATGGAAACACATCAAATCGGTTGTTACATAAAATATTTTATGAGTAATTGTTGATAAATCTAATATTTACAGCAATTAAGATCATTTTGGTAAACTTTCAGTTATTTTACAATATAATATACCTAAACCAAACAATAAAGATGTTATTCAACCATATCAAACGACACAATCTATCCAAGCGTTGTATTCACAAAACGACACACTACATTATGAGACGATAGATAACAACTTTTGGCTACATTGACCTCTGCTGCAGTAGAATATTTGACTATTCCGATCTGCAGTCTGTGAGTAGCAATTTAAGTTATTCCTTTCACCTTTTATCATTTGACTTTATAGTTCTTTCTTTAATTTCCTTGTGCAGAATCCTATAGCTAGATGGCATATATGTCAAGGTTCAATCAATAGCGTTGCTATCTCAAATGATGGGGCATATATTGCAACTGTTGGGAGGGATGGTATTTTCTTCATCTAATGACTTCTGGATCTTTATTTTTGTCCTTTTCATTGTTAACTCGGCTGATAATGGCTAATTAAATACAGGTTATCTGCGAGTATTTGACTACAAAAACGAACAGCTTATATGTGGTGGGAAAAGCTACTATGGTGCTCTATTATGTTGTGCTTGGAGGTGAGTGCGTGTGGTGTTTTAGATACAAGGTATATCTGTGTCTTGAAGTTGCTTTTGCCTTCTCATTTAAACTTAGGATCCTTCCCCTTAGTATACATTTTCTTTTTTCCCTCCAAATATGTTGTTATCAATGTTTTGAGTAGAGAAACATTTTACTGAGAGTGCATGTACTGACAGTATGGACGGGAAATACATTTTAACTGGTGGAGAAGATGACCTAGTTCAGGTTTGGAGCGTGGAGGAACGTAAAGTAGTTGCATGGGGTGAGGGACACAACTCTTGGGTGAGTTTGTAGCAGATTAGTATGATTTACCTTTTCTTCTCTGTGATATTCAAGTCTTCCTTATTGTCTTGATTCGTGTCCATAGGTAAGCGGAGTGGCTTTTGATTCATATTGGACAGCACCAAATTCAGATGGCACGGATGAAAATGTTGTCTACCGATTTGGTTCTGTTGGTCAGGTATTGTTCAAATGAAGCACTAAAACTATTTTTTTTTTTGGGATAGGAAAAATAAATTTAAGATGAGGTCCCACCGGGAGTCGAACCCACGTCTCATGAAGCAATATTACTGTTTGAATTACTATTAAAACTAGGATCTTATGTGCCTATTCAAGATGAACACTTTATCCGAGTTGAAGCTTATATTCTTCTCTTGCTCAACAAAGGAAATGAAATCAAAACTTATCTTCTTTTTTTCCTTCTTAACCAAACATTACTTTGTAGTTTTGGGGTGAAATCCAAATATCCAGCATCTTTACCGGTGCATTTCATTTGTGATATGTAGTTTTTGTACTACTTACTTCCTCAAATCTCTCCATCTTTAATCGTATTACTTACATTGGTACTAACATGTTTATCTATCTTTTTAATCTTTATATGTATCTTCAAAAAATTTGTAAATAATTTTCTTGTAATCGTAATTTGTTATTTCGAGGATATTTGTAAAAATTATATATTTTTAGAATATGTTTTGACTTGTATCGTGAAATTTGTATTTCCTTGCTGGTAGCGGGTTGGAGCTAATCTCCACAAGGAACCTCCTAAGCGGAGGATTTTCTCTTCTTTAACATGCTTATCCGATAGTTGAGCCTAGTATGAATTGAACATACTTCTGTTATGGATAAAAGTTTTCCAGATCAGTTGGCAAATAGCCAACGTTCTACTTGGTTTGAATTACTCAGCAGTTAAGATGAAGCAGAATGAAAATCTGGTTCCAAATTATTTTTTACTGTAGGTGAAAACCAGTCAGAGCAATGTTGGAGTTTGAGTCCTACTTTCATGTGCATAGCAATTTGCAAAAAGTCAAACTTCCAATATCATGAAAGATATTATTATTAATTGCTCTACGATCTCTTGCAGGTTTTACCTACTTGATATCTCCTAGTTTGACTGTCTACAACCTTGATATATTTTTGCAGGACACACAATTACTTCTATGGGATCTTGAAATGGATGAAATTGTAGTACCAATGCGCCGTCCTCCTGGTGGATCTCCAACTTTCAGCACCGGGAGTCAATCGTCACATTGGGATAATGCTTGCCCCGTTGGTACTTTGCAACCTGCTCCAAGCATGCGAGATATTCCAAAAATATCACCCCTGGTTACTCATCGCGTTCATACTGAACCACTCTCTAGTTTAATATTTACTCATGAATCAGTCCTTACTGTCTGTCGGGAGGGGCACATTAAGATTTGGATGAGACCAGGCTTTGGTGAAAGCCCATCAAGCAACTCGGATTCTTTATTGAGTACTAGTATGAAGGAGAAGCAATCGATATTGGGGAAGGTTGTTACTTCAAATTACAAGTAATGACATAAATATTATTATGTTGGAGTGCAAAAATGGAGAACGCAGTAAATGGAGGTCTTTTACATACTGACATTCACTGCTCTTCAGTTACGTTTGCTCGATGCTGATAAGCGTATGATATGAGGTTGTGCGGTGAGATTAACTGACCAATTGTATAGGGAACAATGAATTTGCTGCAGGGAGCAAGATGAGGTTGGAAGAAGGGTGCACACCTCGCGTGTAAGTATGAAATGTTAAGAGAATATTTAAACTGATAGGCTGAAATAATTATCTGACATCTTTTGAGATGTGCACCCTCCCAGAACTCCCTAACCCCTCCTTTTTTTCCCTTTTGTTCTTTTCATTTTTTTCTCTTTTCTTTTTTAGCCAATTTTGCATAGAAACTACTGGTTGACATTTGATTTGTATTGGAATACCTCATGTTTTGCCCTGTCCAACATTTTGGCTGTGGTTTTATGGGGTTGACAAGCTTATTAATGCACTTTTACATGGAATTTTTCTTGTGCAAGGTAAGTTAGTCGGGCGAAACTACAAATGGTAACAGTCTGAGGTTAATGTAGCCTGATCTTCTAAAAGTTGAACTGGATTTTGGTGAGAAATCTTTGTTTTTAGAGAAGTTTAAACTTTCAAAAGTGATTTATCGTTTCTTTCATCATTCATTGTAAAGACTTTTGAAACTTGGATCTAAAAGTGACTTTGCTGAAGTTCAATTATACTTTTGAAAGTCTGAGTTTGTGCAAATGGAAGGAGCATCAAACATGCAGATAATATTTACTTGATGTAAAAGTAAGCAATGTTGCAGATTTGTGCTTTTTGTTATGAATTACTTGTGATTTATAGTTCTGACTCTGAGTTACAAAGTTGTGGCATTTCAAACCTTGGCCAGTTGGCCGTACTAACCAATTGACATATAACAAATCTACTTGGTTGCAGGTTCTTCAGTCTTAAACTAATAATGATACAGCAGAACCAACCAATTGACATATGATAAATATTCTAGGGGAAAATGACACTGTATCTTTCAAAATAATTTCCGAAAAAATGTATTTTTTTCTGTATATATTTGCATTTCTGTATGTTATATATAAAAAATATACAAATTTTATACTTTTTTGCGGCTATCGAATATAAATAGTTTCCGCGTGATCTTTGCCCATAAATCTACATGGTGAAAACTGAAAGCTCTCATTATAGTCATTGAGCCCTTTTCTTTTCACTATATTTTGATTTTTAAAGGAATAACACCTTTGCGTTAACAGGCAACGGCGTACTGTGACTTGATAGAAAAACAAACTAAGACATTTAAATGTCAGGTTGCGATCTGTGGGTTAGGACAAAGTTACAGGTCCAAACCTTGTCGGCTGTCGCAGATAAAAAGCCTAGTATTTAAGTGGAGAAAGGTAAAAGGACATACCCATTACCCATCGAGCTTCAAATCGTGCACTACTGACCTTCGGAGATTTCTTGATGATCAAAATAAAGATTATATTTTAAATACTCTATTACATGGGGAGGAGAAGAGGGCTAGTTAGGATCCAAGTCACCTATATTGTGTGGGAGATTCCCACAAATACCAGTAAACTGTAACATGTGAACAAAGATGTGCCAAGCAATTGAATAGAAAAAGTAACAGGAAAGATACAAGATTACATTTTTTTAACAGAAAAAGGAAAGGAGAAAATCAATCTTGGTTACATTCTGATATTTACATTATTTCAGTTTCCCTTTGAAGCACTTCCTATCTGCTGGAACAATGAACCAGCCGTGTAACTCAAAACTTTACAGTTGTGACTTGCAACGGCTAGCTATACACTCCAATGATTTTCTTACCCGAGACGGAAAATGTTTTAATCTTGAATATAAGTAGACTATGTGTTCCTCGCGTTCAGCTTCCATGCGCAGCTCCAGAAGTACCAGCTTCAGCTCCATGCATTTGGCTTTCCACGTGGGGCGTCGGACTAACTTCAGATGATTGATTTGGACGCGCCCCTTCCTGAGATTCACGATGCGAATTCCATCTCCTCTTCAATTTCAAAAGCTCAAGAAGGACAGAAGTCCCACACATTGTACCCCCAAAACCCGCAAAGGTGGCAAGAAGAATCGATAAAACTGCTTGCACTCGAAGCTACAATTCCGAGCAAAAGATAAAAAGCTTTTAGTATTAGGTGGAGCCCAAGGCAATTCAAGAGAATTACATAATCTTTTTTCTTTCTAGTTGGCCATGTGTTNTCAAGAGAATTACATAATCTTTTTTCTTTCCAGTTGGCCATGTGTTAGGTTTTTTGTTTATTTGAGCTGAAGCACTACTCACCACTGAGTAGAAAACATGAGCAAACAGAACCACCAAGCCAAACTGAATGACAGCATAAATCCAAGCATATCGTCTTATTACTGAACACGTAAAGCATGTAGTTTGTATGTTATATTACCATATTATTGTAATCCAACACTGTCAAATTTGAAAGAAGCTAGTGAACATAGGGAGTTTAGTTCATGTACCCATAGTTGTCGATGTCATGGAAGCAAGGAGACCCAATATGCATGAAAAGGGCAGAGATATAGCAATGGCGCCCGATCCCATTCTGGTAACCTGTAAACAAGAAACTATTTAGGACCCTTTTCTGGAGTAGGATAATATATTACTGTATAATCTTTACTTACCAAAAGCTGCTCCAGAAAACAAAAGTAGGCGAGCATGCTGACGATGACAAGAACAGGAACATCTTGCCAAACCCTGTAAGCAGTTTGCACAGCTCAAGTAAAATACCATGTAATTCAACTTAAAAACTTTTTTTTACAGGTACGATGTAATTCAACTTAAACAATTTCATCATAAGAAATGATACAGAGCAACAAAAGAAAGGGAAAGGCAAGTTCATGTGTATACCTGTATCGTCCAGCTTCAGCTTGAGCTCCATTTCCTCCACGATTAGTACTTTGAATCCGCAAAAGAGTGACAGGTAAGTTCCGAACCTCTTCATTGCAGACATCACAGATCTTGTTGCCTTTTATGCTAAACCATTTTATAGCACATTCTTGATGAGCTAAGGCTAGTTCACCTTTACAGCTACATTCCATCTTCAGAGTTTCCGAACCCTCCCCAAGTTCAATGAAGCAGATTCTGCAGACAGCATCTTCTTGAGTGATGTCTTCACCAATATTAGCATTTCCATCTGAAACCATAACACTAAGAAAGGTGTAGGTTAGTTATCCTAGGTGAGTCGAATAGAAGGTTCAAGCTGTAAATGCAATGCTGCATAAGAATACTGTCATCTAGATTTAAAGAATATTCTTTCTCCAAATATAGGTTAAGTACAGCTTCTTACAGCTACCAGATTTTAAACAATGATTATATGGATTATAAACGCTATAACTCAACTTCCAACAACTCTTATCCACAAAAATTGCTGTCTATCAGAAATTGGCGAGTACATATTCCTATACGCAGATGATCACCGAGCGGCCAAAATTTTATAAATCGCAATCTGTAGTATGAAATCCTAGTTAGTATGGCCTCCTAATATAAGTTGAGACAGCACTCCATTATATTCGTATGCAGCTGCTCCTTATTAGAATTATAGCTTCAGACAAAAAAATAAAGCACGAATGATGTAACTAACAGAGAATCACAGGTTTGCAGAACCAAGCCCTTATTATACGACAATGCATCAAACATGATTATAGACATAAATTACCTGCGCTAAGAGTTGAAGTCGCATTTAATGATGAAGCATCATGTCTTGGCACGTGAGGAGTAGAGGGGACTACACGATAGATGCTCCCTATGTAATCCATCTGTTTTATGCTCCCATCTTTGATTAGTGTTGGCACTGAATGTGAGCGGGGTATGGGATGTCTAGCTCCTGCTTTCTAGAAGATGGTGAATTCATAAGATTTTAGTAGAGAAAATGAATTGTCCAGAGTGAATAGAGAGCAAAAGAAATCTTGAAGGGTTATGTGAAATTACAAAGACCTTAATTTAACAAAACCTTTATATTTATGCCAACAAACCAATAAGAAGATCCATGATCAGTATATACATCTAGGACTCTAGGTAAATGAATTAAGACTTTGGAGTACTGTCATTGGAGAACAATAATTATGCTTGTCTTTTGACTACACTCATCTTTCTTTTTTCTTTTTCTTTTTAATAATTGTGGTGTCCGGGCCAGCTTATGCGCACCTCGACTAATTCCACGGGATACCTGCCACCTCCCACCAGCAACAGGTACTAGGTAACTCTATCTATCATGGTTTGGATAGATGGGAAAAAATCACCTAGTGGTTTTTGTCTCCGCTGGGATTTGAACCTGAGACCTCATGGTTCAGACCCACTTCATTGACCACTAGGCCACACTCTTGGGTGCACACTCATCTTTCATTACCCAATGTAACATACTCTCACTGAGAATTTTACATATAAGAAGACGGGCAACAAAGATAAGAACTTACAACTGAATCGAGTGCTGCATTTCCGTAGCCACCATGTGTTGATTCAGGATTAGAGTGTTCAATTGGAGTTATAGGCAACGATGAAGTTCTTTTCATCTTTGGAGTGAAAATCCTTTTAACAGATAGAGTCCTGAAAATCGAAGTCCTATCCTGAGTTTGCGAAGAGGCTCCAAGAGCTAACATTGCAGCCTTTTCAATATCAGTCGTTCTATTCCGAAATTTGAAACTTAATTTAGGGAGGAGAGATTTGATTGACGATTTAGCCCTCGATAACGAGGGACCTGGAGATCCGTTTACTTTAACATGGCTCGGGCTTGGTAATGGGGAAAAATTCACTCTTTTCGGAGTTTGAGTTGGCGACGGGGACAACATATTTATTCTCACGAAATCCTCTATTGGTCCATCAACGGTTCTTTCTGGTACTTCCAGAAGTAGATTTTGCTGTCTTTGCCGTTCGCAGAGTTGTAGTTCCTGTACTATTTCACTTGATTCACCAACCTAAAAGATATGAGAACCACAATACAAGAGTTACTACTCAATTTCTTGCCTCTCATCATACAAACATTAACTGTACCAAAATGCAATAAAACAAAAGATATAATCTTGAAACACTTCTCTGATACAAAGATTCAGCATGCGGCACTGGTAACAAGAATTAGCTCCAAGAATGATGTTGAAGCAAAGATAAACAATTCATGCCAAAAATAATATACAAACTAGTAGGTGATCAAGAACCAAATAAAACCAGCTCAGAAATTCCTTGTACAATCCTAAACATCCAAAATCTTTTGGAGTATAAGTTCTATGAACATATGGTGTAAACAATATTTACAACATCATGTAACTTTAAAGTCAACTGCAAGCAATTCTCCATACAACAACAACAACAATAATAAACCAAGTGAAATACTACAAGTGGGGTCTGGGGAGGGCAGTGTGTACACGGACCTTGCCCCTACCCTGGGGAGGTAGAGAAGTCCGAATGACCCTCGGCTCGAGAGGAAGACAAGTAATTCTCTATACAAACATTAATTGATATCTT